CATATACATACATACATGCATACATACAGATATATATATATATATATTTATGAAACTTTTGCAAAGTGCTTTTCAAAAATAAGTTTGTTATCCTCACAACAGTCCAGGGAGATAGGTGCTATTATCAGTTAAGTGGATAGAGGACTAGATCTGGAGTCAGTAAGACCTAAGTTCAAATGTGTGCTTAGACACTAACTAGCTGTGTGACCCTAGGCAAGTCACTTAAACTATGTCTGCTTCAGTTTCCTAACCTGTAAAATGGGGATAATAAATAATATCTACCTTCCAGGGTTACTGTAAGGATAAAGTGAGATTATATTTGGAAAACACTTTGCAAACATTAAAATCATTGTTACTACTATTCTAATTATTCTAGTTATGGATTCAAACTACTTGCTGGTTGTGTAAGTTTGGACAAGTTAGTTCTCTTGTCTGGGTCTCAGCTTCCTCATCTATGAGAATGAAGTTGTGGACAAGATGATTAATGGGGTCCCTTCGATCTCTGACTTTCCATCATTTGACTGATTAAGTGGAATGGAATGCATGAAGGGGTAGATTATAGGATCATAGATCTACACTTGGAACCTCAGTCCAACCTCTAGTCCAACCTCATTTTACAGATGAGACAACTGAGGCCTAGAAAGGACAAGTGACTTTCCCAACATCTACCAGGGAGAAATCAGGGTCAGAGGTTGGATTTGAGGTCAGAGGTCTTCTTACTCCCTTGTACTATAATCCCTCCCAAGATGATATGACTGCTAGGAATCCTAGACCTGAAAGGAATACTTCACTAAAATTATTCACACTGCATGTACATGCCAGCCCATCTGGGGTGCTGTCTGGGTGGCCTGCCAATACATAGCGAACCAAAAAGCAAAAGGGATTATTTAAAATTGGACATATTGGGAACACCCTAGCTTTCAAGAAAAGTGCTCCATGGGTGGAAACAGGTTTTTCTTAAATCTCATCCAAAATACTCCCACAAAGCAAACTTCCTAGCTCCTAATTTCTCAATTGAGAAAGGTCTGTAGAGAACTGGAGAAGGCAGGCCTGGACTTCAGTGACTTAGGAAGGTTTCCTGTTCGAGTTAAAGGTAACTCGGTTTGCAACTTGGCATTGGAAGTTAGCAAACGGTGATTTTTATGGATGTATGGCCCACATGCTCTGTACTTTGATTGTATAGATCTGACTGATAGAGATCTGACTTTGCAGTTGTTACCAACTGCACCCACTTTTTGTGATTTGAGCTTGAAAAGGCAGCACACTTTTGTAAAGTTGGAGACTTCACAGCAGCTATTTCCCTCCATATAGTGCCACAAGCAAGATCCAGCCATTCTGTGGGTTTTCTCCCGTAGGTTGAAAACCACCACCACCAACAGTGACAGCCATGGTATAGCAGTTAAATCGGGGGTGGAGGGGTAGGTCGGGGATGAGCTGGTCACATAGTGAGAGCAAGGGACAATGGATGACAGCCCCCTTGTACTCCGCTGGCATCCCTGCAGTAACAAGAAAAGTCAGGGAAGGGCCCCAGCATGTTGGTGCATTTATGGTAGGAGACAGAGGGCAGGCAGGTGTAGATGCTTAATGAGCATTCTGAGATGGTTGCAAGCATTGCTCTCTTAGAGTGGAGAGAGCACTAGAGTTAGAATCAAAGGGACCTGGTTTAGCATCCTGGCTGTTGTGGACCAGAGCACTGGTAGAAGTGAGGAGGCGAAAGTTGAGATGGCAAGGTACTATAGTGGATAAAGTATTGGACTTTGAGAAAGACATGAATTCGGATCTTGTGTGACCCTGGGCAACTCTACCTCTTGTGCCTCAGTTTCCTCATCTGTAAAATGGGCACAATAGCCCCTATCTCCCAGAGTTGTTGTAAGGATCAAATAGGATAACTTACTATCTTACTGTGCTTTGCAAACCTTAAAGTCCCATATAAATGCTAGCTTATTATTCTTACTATCACTACTATTGTCATCCCTCCAGTTTCCCACAAGAGGTGGAGGAGGCCTGGGGGAGTTGGGGGTCTACTTTGCCCCCAGGTAGATTGATATGGGTCCTTTGGGCAAAGAGGATATCAAGGCAATTCCAATCTAAGACTGGTGTCTAAGAGCAGCTAAGTGGCCACTGGTCCCCATTACCAGTGGGTGCTCAGGCTAGGCTCTTTTTTGAATAAGCCTTTTTGGGGGGCGGGGGCGAGGCAATTGGGTGAAGTGACTTGCCCAGAGTCACACATCTAGGAAGTGTCAAGTGTCTGAGGCAAGATTTGAGTTCAGGTCTTCCTGAATCCAGGGCCAGTGCTCTATCCACTGCCATCTAGCTACCCCTTGAATAAGCATTTTAAAGCACCTACTGTATGCAAGGCACTGACCAAAGCAGTCTCTGTTCTCCAGGAACTTAGATATAATTGGATTTTTATCTCTGAGCCTCATTTCCTTTATCTGTAAAGTGAGATGATTGGATTCAACTCTAAGGGTCCCAATGGTTTTAAATCCTGTGGTTTAGAACTTGAACGTACAGAGAGGAAGTTAAAAAAATAGACTTGGAAGTCAGCTAACTTGGTTGGGTTCAAGTCCTGGGTCCAATACTTATTGTCTCAGAATCTCAGATCCCTGAAATGGGGATCATAGAATTTGAGAGTTGAAAGAGTCCTCAGAGACCATCTAGTCCACACCTCTCATTTATTGGTGAGGAAACTGAGGCACAGAAGGTTAAGAGGCATTGCCAACATCTCCGAGGTAGGCTGTAGTAATGCTTGGATTTGAACAAGACCTCCATGGCTGATTTTTTCATTGCTTGCCTAACTAGATTGTAGGGAGGCTTGCTCAAAACAACTTATCTAAATTACCTGTAACTTAACTCACTTTATCACCAGTGAGGAAAACTCTGTAGGTTTTTAGCCAATGAACTAGAAATCATATGGAAAGGTAGATCATATGGTGGAAAGAAGTTACCTAATCCTGGCTCTGGGCCTTGGCCCAGACTGTCTGCCATGCTTGGAATTCACTCCCTTCTACCCTCTGTCTTCTACAACCCCTAAGCATCTTTCAAGGCTTACCTCAAGTGCTAACTTCTTGAGGCCTTTCCCAAGACCCCACCTGTTGGGGCCTTCTCACCTCCACTCCTCCAAATGATTGGCATTTATTGTCTTAGATTTTATATTTGCATCCACAGGGAATAGGGCTTAGCACAGAATAAGCACCCAGTTTGTCAGTCAAAAAACTTTTAGTAAGCATCTACTACGTGTCAGGCACTGTGCTAAGTGCTGAAGACATGAAAAGAAGCAAAAGGCAGTTCCTGACCTCAAGGAGCTCATGATCTCATGGGAAAGACAACAGGCAAAAAAAGAACTCCCCCCCAAATCCTAGCTATATAAAGGACAAATAGGAAAAAATTAAAAGAGGGAAGGCACTAGAATTAAGAGGGTTTGGGATAGGCTTCCCTTGGTGGGATTTTAGCTGGGACTTGAGGGAAGTCAGCTGGCTTTTCAAATATCTTTTCATTAATTCAGTTGGTTCTTAGTTATATGTCAACATATATTTCTCCTGACAGAATGTAAGCTCCTTCAGGGCAGGGACTATTTTATTTTTTGTGTGTGTGTGCGTTTGTATTCCCAGCATCTGGAATAGTGCCTGGTAGGTTCTTCATTAATGTTGGTTAATTACCACCAACCAGTCCAGTCAATGAATGACCTTGAATGAACCACAACCTCTTGGGCTTCCGTTTCTTCATCTGTAAAACAAGGAGGTTGGAATGGATTGTTTTCCAATCGCAAAATTATGGTTCCTATTTCTTTTAATTAGTAACTTATAAAAACCTACCCTGGGGTGACAAGCACTGTGTGTTCATTTATTAATCATGTTTTATAAGTAGAAAATAAACTCAGTGACAGCAGGAATTCTTTCTTCCTTCCTTCCTTCCTCTCTGTCTCTGGCTGTCTCTGTCTCTCTTTCTCTCTGTCTCCTCAACATCGGCCACCATGCCTGGCAAATAGTGGCTCTTAATACACAGTTGTTAGATTAAATAGAATTCTTATAGTTCAGTCTCAGATTCACACACACACACACACACACACACGAGTTAAGACAGTCCTTTTCTTTTAATCAGGGCACTGTTATTGGAAATTACAGTGACGTAAACAAGAGCTGAATGGTGACTAACAGCGCTAAAGACAACCGCCTTTGCTCTTTTGCAGATGTCACCCTGGGCAGTCATTGTTTTGGGGGGCTCTCTTCATCAAAGGGTAAACCTGATGTGTAAGCAGATAGCATATTTTGGACGGTTTCCTGCTTAACTACAGGGTGGCTAGAATACTGAAATAAAACAGACCAGTGAGTTCTGCAGACAGCTGCATGAGGTTCCTAACACCTGGAGCTGCAGAAAAGAAACTTTTTTTGTTTGTGTGTGTGTGTGTTTTTTAATAACACTTTTGGGCCTATTTGGTTTTGTTCCCCCTCTTTGGTTGCTTTGGTTTCAGTTGTTGCAAGCTCCATTAACCCTAGAAGTTCAGGACGCTTTGTGCTGGGGAGCGCTTTTATAAAATAAAATTGCCATCCTGGAAGAGACTTCCCTGGAAACTTAGCTGCATTCTTGTACAGAAACTTTTCTCTGGGCTCAGGCTGTGGCGCCCTTTCCTGGATACAAGCAGACTTTCTGGTCTCCCATCAACCCTGGTGGGCTGTTTGTTTGCAACCCCACCGGCTGTTAAGGGTAATACCTTCGGATTTCTGACATTCTGCTTTGGAGGAGCGGGGCGGGGGGAAGGGGCGGGGCACTGCTCCCACACTAGGGGGCCCCTGAGCCCTCCTCCTGGTTCTTAGACCTACTGGGTGCCCGTCCCTGCCCCGGACAGTCCACTCCCCCAATGCCCAGGGCTCGATTCCCGTGCATGACCTCGCTTCCTCTGGATGTGCAATCTGATTGGCTTGGCTTGGGATCCCCAGGGCAGGCAGCACCAGAGAGGCCCCAGGTTTGGGGGGAGGGGGGTGTCTCACGCCAGAGAAATGCAGCCTCGGAGCTAGCTTGACCTGCTGCATCCTCCCGGGCTTTTCAAGTCAAAGAACTCAGACTTCCTGAAATTGTTGCACTGGATGTAAGCGCTGCCTCCTTGAGAAGCTGTTGGCTTGGAGGGGTGAGGAGTGGGGGTGGAGCACGACAAGGGGGGTGGCGGGGGGGGGGTAGGGATGGAGAGAAACTTTAGCCTTGCACACCCCAGAAAAGGGTGAACCGAAGGCTGCGCGGAGCCCCGCGATGCAGGAGACGTGCCTGAGCGCTGGCTGCACCCGGGAGCCTGCGTTCTCTTAGCGGGACAGGAGATGGCCCCAGGCTGGCCCCCGGCCCGTTGTCCTAGAGGTGTGATGTGAAGGGACGGCCGGCCGGGCTGGGTAGGGCTGGGCAGGGTAGGGCAGGGCAGCGGTTCGCGGCTGAGCGAGCTCCTGGGAAGCCTGCACACTTGTCCGCCTCCCTCCGTGCCTGCTGGAGAGCCAAGGAGCCGGGCTCGCTTCCTCCCCGCGGCTTCACGCAGGACCCAGGTGGCCCAGAGAGGGGGTGAGTGGGAGCCGCCCCCTGTTTGGGGCAGGGAGGGAGGGGGCGGGCCAAGAGCGAGGTCCCAGGACAAAGCCAGCTCTGCAAACGAATGCACGCTCCAGCCCGGCGTGGGGGCGTGAGCAGCCCCCCGGGGCATCTGCTGGGGCAAGCTCCGTGCTCGGGGCTGGGGCGGGGGGGCCCTCCGGTGTTTACCGCCTCGGGGGGCGCTCCTGGGCCTGCAGGGGGACAAACCCTATTAGCAGCTGCTTTTCCTGAGTGAGAGTGAGCGAGGCAGGGCTCGCACACCGCCCGGGTGTTTGTGCGCGAATGTTTATGTGGTCTCCTGTTTTTTAAGAAGCGGATCTGAAAGGAGAGGCGTGGGAGGGGGAGCCAGCGCCTTTCCGGGGCGACCCTCCCCCAGTCTGGGTCTTCCACCATCCCTCCCCCTAGCGTGCCCTTGGGGAGCCCCGGAGATGGTTGGATCCCCTCAGTGCCTCCAGGCACGTCCCTTTGGAGCCTTCTGAACCTCCTCCAGACTGGGCTCCGGGAGCCTAGATTTAGAGCTGGAAGAGAGCTCAGAAATCATCTTTTCTCAGATGAGGACACTGAGGGTTAGCGCCTTCCTCAGGGTGTCGGGGGAGCACACCTCCTAGGTGGAATTTGAACCCGCATCCTCTGCCTCGAGGGGCTCAGGCTGCATCAGGTTGGACCCTGGTTCCTCCTATGGGTTTCTGCCTCAGTTCCCGCCTCTATTGTTTTTAAGTCTACACGCAAAGTGAGCTTGAGGGGAAGGACCGGTGCGGTGCGGAATGCCATCAATCTGGGTCTAGAAGAGGAACGTTATAAAAACGGGGTTAATCATTGGGGCTCCCGCCTCCCAGTCATATGACATCTCCTCCCTCTCCGAGCCCCGAGCCTTCTTTTGTGTTTGTCAGCAACAAGTAGGGAGAGTATTTATAGAAGGCTCTGCAATCCTGTGGTGCAGCAAGGTTTCAATTACCCCTACTTGCCCATATGACTAAATGCAAGTTTTCTGTGCTGTCTGCGGGGAGAACCACATGGGCGGTGGGGGTGGCAGGGCAGCTTTAAGGAGCCTAGGCCACCAGCTGGGTGACAGCCCTGGCGAAGCAGAGGATGGGAACGTGGAAAGTCAGAGAGAGAAAAAGCCCTAGAGAACCATTGATCGGTGAGGAAATCTGAGGCCCAGAGAAACACAGTGACTTTCTTAAGTTCACCCGGATTCAGACATGGAAACCTGCTGCCATTCTACTCCAGGACATGGGTTGGTAAATTTAGAGCTGGAAGGAGGCCTAGAGGTCATCTACACCAAGCCCCTCATTTTATAGAAGAGAAAAGAGAACCCAGAGCAGGGAAGAGACTTTCCCAAGGCCACCCAGACCTTCCAAGGGCAGAATCAGGATTGGAAACCAGGTCCTTTGATGACCAAAGCACCTTCCTTCCCATCACACCAAGCTGCTTCCAGTTATTCCTTCCTCAGTTAATCAGAAGAATCAGGCCAAACTTAAGTCAGGCTAACCTGGAGTGCCCAGTTTGTGTCTGGAAGAAAATAAACAGAGTTTCTGTGGGCCCTGGGAAAGGGCCAGCAAAGCAGGCTAAGGGACCCTAATGATCTGGACTGGATCATTCACTGCTCAAGCATAGTGGCTGCTACAGTAGCATTTGTTTCATTGAGTTCTTTAAGTTCTCTGACCTCCCCAGGAGAGCCCTCACTTAGCAAGACTAAGAAACCCAAGCCTGGTGGGGTGACCCCCATCAGTGGCAATCCTAACCACAGGTTGGGGCAGGAATGACATTTCTTTCCCCCAGAAGCTGCTACATTTCACACAGTACTGTAGTGAGCTGGTAAATTCCTCTCCTTGGTCAAAGGCAGCTCATTTTCACTATGCAAAGCACTAGGTCAGGGTAGGAGGCAGGGAGAACCCAACTTAGAACTTTAAGAGAACCTCTAATTACCCTCCTTTAAAATTAGCTGGCAAGGGAGACCGAGGCTCCCTTTTCCTTCCTCTCTCCCCAAACCACTTATTTTGTGTGTGCCTGAGAAAAACTTTCTACCTTGTTTCCCACTGGACCTTTGCTAGTTTGTGCCTTCTGGTTTTGATTTTTGTCCTCACACATATCTTAAGCTAGATGGCCCAGTGGACAAAGCACTGGGCTGGAAGTCAGGAAGACTCATCTGCCCAGGTTCGAATCTGGCCTCAGAAACTTACAAGTCACATAACTGTTTGTCTCAGTTTCCCCATCTGTCAAATGAGCTGGAGTAGGAGGTGACAAATCGTTCCATTATCTTTGCCGTGAAAACCCCGAATGGGGTCAAGAAGAGTTGGATTTGATTGAACAACATTTCTTAAGCTGGCCTGTGGATTTGGCCCTGCAGCTAGCCATTCAGATAGTCATAAGCTTCTCAGACAGAACTGGTCAGAATAGAGCCAGGCAGAGAGACAGAGCCAGAACCATAACATTTTCATCAGTTCCTTGTTCTTTACAGGAGGCCCAGAGTTGAAGTAGCCTGCTGACAGGCATATGGAATGGAGGAGCCCAGGCTGGGGCCCTGGCCCTTTGACATGAACTAATTAATTGTACTATTTCAGCATTTCCACTGAAGGCTGTGACTATCAATGGCCTAAAAGACATTGTATTAAGTTTCCATTTTTATCCACATTATTAGAACTCTACTTCAGACGCTTACTAGATTAGGACATGGGCAAGTCGTGACAACTCTGAGTTTTAGTCTCCTGGTTGGTAGAATTGGGAGGATCAGACATAATAATTCAGAGAGTTCTGGTGAGGCCGGGTAGGATGAGGACAATCCCTCTGCCAGGTGACAACCCTCAAAGGTTGAGGAGAGATGGGTTGGGCTCACTCTTGATGAGGCAGCTTGCTGGCAAAGCTACCCGAGGGGCTGAACTTGGAGGCAAGAAGAGCAGAGTTTGAATCCTACCTTACTAGTTGTTAGACCCTGGGCAAGTCACTCAACCTCTGTTTGCCTTGGTTTCCTCATCATAGCATCTACCTCGAAGGATTATCATGAGGAACGGTAAAGCACATTGTAAACCTTAAAGCTCTATGGAAATGCTAGCCATTATTATTAAAAGTGCAGGATCCAGTGTCCTCCCCACCATTCCATGCTTCCTCTCAATGAAAGTCTGAGAATCAGTTTCATCATCTGAAAAATTGGGGTATTTGCCTTACCTACTTCACAGGGTTGTTTGGAGAAAATATTTGTAAATCCTCAAAACAATATAGAAGGGTTGAGTCATTATTGTTACTTATCTCCTCCAGCTCTCAATGTATGACCTAATGAACCCGAGGGGACATTAGAAGTCATTTAACTAGGTCCCTCCATTATCCAGATGAGGAAACTGAGGCTCAGAGGGGTCAGTGATTTGGCCACCGTCACCTCCATTTGCTTTAACTGCAAATTCTGCCTCTTCTGTTTTGGCATATGTCTTTCTGTGCCTCATAGAGCACCCATCTACCCAAGAGAATGGAGACCTTCATCTGATTGTTTTAATATTTCAAGGGTACCCATGCAGTGATCAGGTTTTCACAGCCCTCTGAGTTGGAATAGACCTTAGCAAACATCTAGTCGAACCCATGCTCTCCAAAGAATTCCATCTCTCCCACAGCACAGTAGATAAGGTATGGAAATATTTGTAACATAAAAACACAACATATTGATATAAATTAAAATAAACAAATGATCATAAGCTCATCGATTTGTAGCTAAAAAGGACCTTGGGGGTTACTTATTCCTCATTTTACAAGTAAGAAAACTTGAGCCCCAGGGAGTCTGGGTGTTCTCCAGTGGAGCTGGTGGTCTTTCCAACCAAGCTTTACTTGAAGACAGTCTAAGAGTGAGCACCTCTAATCTCTGAGACAGCCCTTTTTACGGCTCTGTTTCAGCAAAGAGCTGGCATTCTGTATGTATATCTTTGGAAGATCTAATCAGAATGAGAAGTTTGTGGATTTCTGGAATGTTTTTTCATAACTGCCCACATTGACTTTTTCAAATCTGTATATGTTTCCATATGTTTTTGTGGTCTAGTATAACCTCATAATGTCCTGAGAGGTTTCTTTTTTTTAAATTTTCTTTTCTCCCTAAGAAAGGGAAAAGCCTACTTTGGATCTTTTTCTTTAGACCTTTAGCTGATGGAAACTTCTGAAAAAAAAAAAGTTTGGGCTAGTGGAAAGAAAGCGTATAGGATTTGGTGTGAGGAAACTGAGTTCATAGGAGCATAGGTTTAGAGCTAGAAAGGATTGTAAAGAGGGTCCAAACAAACCAACCTGCTTCTTTTCCAGGTGAGGAAACTGATGCTTCGAAATGTTAAGTGAGTGACCTGAGGTCACACAGCAAGTAAGTATGTGCCAGAGGCAGGTCTTTCCAACTCCAGGTCCAAAACTCTAGCCCCACTCTACTAAAGATTTTTTTCCTTTAATTTCTTTTATTTTTAAAAAATTATGTTTTTCCCCAATTACATGTAAAAATAATTTTTAACCATTTTTTTATTTCAAGTTCCTCTCTCCCCTCCCCCTTCCCTGAGTCAG